TCTCATTATGTTGCCCAGGCTGGTCTCAAACTCCTGGGCTTAAGCGATCTTCCCATCTTGGCCTCCCAAAGTGTTGAGATTATGGGTGTGAGGCACTGCACGCAGCCTAATTTTTAATTTTTATGGGCCATGGTAGGTGTATATATTTACGGGGTACATGAGATATTTTGGTACAGGCATACGGTGTGTAATAATCCCATCAAGGTAAATGAGGTGTCCATCACCTCAAGCATTTATCATTTCTTTGCATTACAAATACTCCAACTATATTCTTTTAGGTTTTGTTAAATGTATAATAAATTACTGTTGACGGTAGTCACCCTGTTGTGCTATCAAATACTAGATCTTATTCATTCTATCTAACTGTATTTTTGTACCCATTAACCATCCCCACTTTTCCCCCGCCTTCCCCACTAACTAGCCTTCCTAGCTTCTGGTAACCATCATTGTACTTTCTGATAACTTTTCTGGAAATCTAAATTTATTCCAAAATAAAAAGTTCATTTTAAAAAAAGAGGTAGAAGACAAAGAGAGCGGAGACTACACAATATGGTGAATTTGAGACTACGAACTCTTCCCACTACCGCCGTGCAGAAAGGTCACATGAACATCTGCAAACATCCTGCTAAAGTTAGACTGGACTTCCAAGGAAGTGACGGGGGTGCCCAGGGGCCAGAAACCAAGATAGAGATAGAGTAAAGCAAGCATATTGCTCCAGAGCCCTGAGTAAGGCATCAGCCTCCATAATGCCTGGACTGGGGTTTTAACACCTGCACGGGATCGGAGGTGAAGTCAGAGCTATCTGAAGCAGGAAATTGAAACTCGAACCCTTTCTTAGTGCAGAAACTCATGTAGAGTTTCATCTTCAGTGGAAGGGAATCCAGGGGAAAAAAAAAAATCCTCCTACGGTCAGAGAGAGATGACAAAGAAGTTTACTTCATTCTAAACTCAGGGGAGAAAGTGCTAGACTTCCCTTCTGCAGACTTCTTTAGTGAGGTCCATGTCGTTAAATTTAAACACAATGTTAAAGCAATGTCTTCAGTACTTTTAAGCCATGGGCTAGGATTAGTAATACATTTTAACTCTAAAATTAGACAGATGGCCCACACTATACTTCTCATTAGTTGCGGGGGCTGTGTCTTAATTTTTGTTAAAGAAAATAGGAACAGGCTAAGAAAGGTGAATGTTTGCTGTGATGTTTCGTGTTGCTGTGCTGTGCGGTTATTTTACATTTTTGGAGTCCCACCTTCCATCTGGGGAAGAGTTTCTCAATCCTGGCACTACTGACATTTTGGGTTGGATCATTCTTCGTTGTGGGGAGTTGTTCAATATAGGATGTTTAGCAGCATTCCTGGCCTCTACCCATTAGATGCCATTAGTACCACCACTTCCAGTGGTGATACCCAAAAATGTCTCCAGACATTGTCCAATGTCTCCTGGCAAGGGGCGGGGATAAAATTCCCCCTCACGGTTCGAGAGTGACCAACGAATCTCAGTTTGCTGGGAACTGTAGGGGGACCCAGGATGTGGGACTCTCAGGGATATTGTCGTTGTTTTAAGTCAGGGTCTTGCTCTATCATTCAGGCTGGATGGAGTGCAGTGGCGTGATCATGGCTCACTGCAATTTTGACCTTCCGTACTCAATCGATCCTCCCACCTCAGAGTAGCTAGAACTACAGGCACACTCCACCACTCTTGGCTAATTTTTGTATTTTTTATAGAGACGGGGTTTTACTGTGTTGCCCAGTCTAGTCTCAAACTCCTGGACTCAAGCAATCCACCCACCTCGGCCTCCCAAAGGGTTGATATTGAAGGCGTGAGCCACCACACTCAGCCAAGACTCTTGATTTTAAAACTGGGATGTCCTGGGCACGCTAGGATGGCTTGGTCACCCTACTTTCATCTCTAATATGAGTATTTAGGGTGCCAAGTAATTTTAGGACAAGTGGGAGTGAGAAAAGTGGTTTATCACCAGCAAATACTGAGTCATCCCAGTCACTCCTGGACAAACTTATCCAAGTTCTCACGGATGAGTGTCCTTGGTTACTGAGTGGAAAGAAGGTAGAAATGATTTGCTGCTTCTCATCCATGCTAACGGAGAAACTGCTAAAAAAAGTGAACCCAGGAAGCAATTCAGTGTAGCCTTTTTGTGTTGTAGGCAGTGCTCAAAAGTCCCCACAAAGAGCTCAGCAACACCCAGTGTTACAAAGGGTCCATTAACTCTCTTGGCCATTGGCGCTTTAATGCATCAAGGTGATGTCCTCCTAGAGCAATGCTCTCCATCAAGAAAGGAGGGACCTGAGTTCCAGAAAAGGGTAGGGACAGGCCAAGGTGCTGTGCCCACTTACCTCCCCAAGCAGAGCTCCTTCTTTTTGCCATATAGAAGAGGATTAAGAAGGCAAATTCTGAACCAACAGGCTCCAGTTTGGATACTGGCATGTATTGAAAGAGAGTTGGCCAGGATTGACCAGGAAGGGTGGGGAGGTACCCCTGGTCAGCGCAGCTGCTGGGATTGGGGAGAGGCTGTTCTGGCCAAAGGGGAAAGCCCAGTGGCACTGACCAGGCCTGAGAAGCATGGCCTGGAATCTACCTGCCTAGCATAACTATCTTGATAAAAGCAACTGTCCCTTTCTTTCCCCAGAGAAATGCACAGAGGTGCACACACACTTTTAATTTTGTATTTGATTTTGGGAAATTCGCTGAATCTCTGCAGCCCATCAGTCTTGGTTATAAAACCCTGAGCTAATCATTAAGAACCAAACATCACGTAATCCATATATCCCAAGTATTTGGTGAATTTATTTGGCCCAATCAGTTGACCCAGTAACTCCATGAAGCAGGTGCTATAAAGACCATGAACTATTCTTAGACCTGCTAATTTCTCATCATGAAGCATCATGCCAACTTTATGAGCAAGAACTTTGGAGTCAGGAAGCCTGGGTTCAAATCCTTACTATGCCACTTACCTGCAGGATGATCTTGGGCAAGTTACTCAGCCTACCTTAGCCTTAGTTTCCCTATATGTGCTTGGCATACAGGTAAACTATAACAAATACTCAATGAATGTTGTTCACTACTTTATTACTTCATGAGCTCAGCCAACCACTATAGTGGCTTGAAGGCAAAGATTCCACTAAAAGGTGACCTTCACCCACCCTTGAGTGGATGGCTACAAAAGGGACCCCAGAAATCATCTAGTTTGAAGGTCAAGATGGGAAAGAATGGACCAGCATCTCACAGCGGGTCACATACAGAGCTGGGGGTAGGACCCAGGCTTCTCAAAGCCAGTCTAACAGATTCCACCCCTGCCCACTGCCTGTCTTCATGGATAAGCCATCCAACCTAGTATGAGAAAGGTTCTCAGCTTGCCTATGTCCTCTCACCAGTCATCCTGAGTCGTGGTTTCCAAAAAAAGTATCTCTTAAGAAGCTTTCAGCGGGGCTGAGACTTGAGAGAACTTCACTGTCTCAAACACGGGGTTTTAAAAAATTTGTTTCTTTTTAGAATTAAGAACAAATGCTGAACTCCAGGAGTTCAATGGGCAAAGATATAAATAGTCTTGGCTATAGCTTGGCAATAAACATGTGGAAAAATGTGCAGTCTTGCCAGATAGCCCAGCATTGCAAATTGAAACAAGATAACCTTTTTTTGCTTATAAAATTTGCAGATTGCCATGAAAGTGATAACACTGAGCTCTGGCAAGGGCAAAGTGAGATGGGCACTCTCAAACATTACTGTGGGAGGATAAATTGCTTTCAGGAGACAATTTAGCAAATTGTATTAAAGCCTTAAAAAATCTCTCCTCAGAAAATCAGCAGAAATGCCAAAAAAGCTTTATGCACAAAGCTGCTCATCTCAGAATTATTTGTAATAGTTAAAAAAAATAGAGAAGCTATCTAATTATCTAAAAATAAGAGAATGATTAAATAAACTCTAGGAGAGCCACTCAGTAGAGGATTCAAGAGCTATTTAAAACAATGTTTACAAAAATGTATAATAACATCGAAGAAATGCTTATACTCTTTAATTTTTAGAAATCAGAATACTGACTGGTATGCAGAGTACCATATAATCACATTACGTTAAAACATCACTACATACAAATGTGACATGAGAAAAAACCGTATCAAAGCATTAACATTTTCCAGGTGTTCTATGATGTGCATGTATTATTTTTATAATTTAGTAAAATGTAGGTATGTATATGTTTTTTGGACCTCAAGCATAGAATTGCATAGATCATAATGGAACATGTTTTACTTTCATTCTTAAAAGTATGTATAGGCGGCCGGGCACAGTGGCTCACGCCTGTAACCCTAGCACTTTGAGAGGCCGAGGAGGGTGGATCATCTGAGGTCAAGAGTTCGAGACCAGCCTGACCAACATGGAGAAACACCGTCTTTACTAAAAATACAAAATTAGCTGGGCACAGCCCTGTAATCCCAGCTACTCGGGAGGCTGAGGCAGGAGAATCGCTTGAACCCGGGAGGCGGAGGTTGCAGTGAGCCAAGATTGCATCATTGCACTCCAGCCTGGGCGACATGAGCAAAACTTCGTCTCAAAAAAAAGAAAAAAAAAATTATGTACAGGCAGGGCTTGGTGGCTCATGCCTGCAATTCCAGCACTTTGGGAGGCTGATGCGGGAGGATCACTTGAGCCCTGGAGTTCAAGACCAGCCTGGTCAACATAGAAAGACCTCGTCTCTACAAAAACAAAACAAAACAAAAATCGAAAAATTAGGCAAGCATGGCGGTGCACACCTGTGGTCCCAGCTACTCAGGAGGCTGAGGTGGGAGTATCACTTGAGCTGGGAGTTGGAGGCTGTAATGAGCTATGATCAAACCACTGCACTTCAGCCTGGGCAACAGAACGAGACCTTGTCTTTTAAAAAAAAAAATTAAAATTAAAAGATTGTAAAGAAAAGAAAATAGGTACTAAGTTATGGAAACAATGTCAGCACTGCCATCCTTCCTCCCAGTCTGTTTCCTCTCTGCCCCCAGCCCTGCCAGAGCTGCCCCAGGCTTCCCTGTGCCCCCTGTTCTGGATGGAGTTCAAAGGCCACTGCTATCGATTCTTCCCTCTCAATAAGACCTGGGCTGAGGCCGACCTCTACTGTTCTGAGTTCTCAGTGGGCAGGAAGTCCGCCAAGCTGGCCTCCATCCACAGGTAAGTGGGATCTCCAGTCCCCCATGGTTCAACTAAGCACTTCTTTGGGAAATGGGGTGGAAAATGGTATTTCCAACTGGCATTTCTCTTTGGTAATTGAAACTATTTGAAAGAAGTGGAGATGGAGTCTTGCTCTGTTGCCCAGGCCACTCTCAAACTCCTGAGCTCAAGTGATTCTCCCCACTCACCCTCCCAGAGTACTGGGATTATAGGCATAAGCTGCAGTGCCTGGCCAATTGAAGCTACTTTTTAATCCAACCCGATTTCTCGCTGAAACCATCCTTGGCTATAGAAGGCAAAGCATTCAGCAGGGGTAGCAAATAGCATGCTGGAAGATCCACCTTTATAAGTGCCAATCTTGTGCTGTCCTCTGCTCTGTATCCTGTGATACAACTGATATACTACATATATAAAGAATATGATGTAAGGAATATAAGAAATCATAACTGACACTTATTTGCTACATGTTTTATGTACATCATCACATTAAAGCTCCCTCAAACTATATCACATAGGTATCTTCATTTTACAGACTAGAAAGGTGAGTCTCCGAAAAGGTAAGTAACTTGCTCAACATGACACCGCTCTTAAGTGGGAGAAACCCGTTTCGAACGTGTGAAGTCAGATTCCATAGCCCACCCTCCAAGGCCTCCTTCCACATTCCTCTGTCTCCAAAGCCCCAGCCACACTGACCATCTCAGAGTTCTCCAATTTGGTCCAGCTCTTTTACTTCTGCATACTCTTGGCATTCTATTCCCCCTGCTGGGAATTCCATCCCTATCTTCTCCAGGTAAATACCTCCTCAACCTTCAAGACAGCTCTGACAATGTCTCTTCACTAAAGTCACTTAATTACACTCATTGCCCAGCTCTCCTGGGACACTCCCTTTATCACAGCTTAGCTACCTTTTTTGCATCTGACTTCTCTGCTGATTTGTGAGTTTTCTCAGGCCAGATGTGATGTGTTCCATTGGCACCCAAGCTACAAATCACAATCTTACCTCTGTTCTTCAAGAATCTCAGAAACTACTGAAAGGGGGTTGGTTTTTTTATGTGTAGAGCCATTGACTTTTGTTAAGAATAAGGAAAGGGGGCCAGGTGTGTTGGCTCATGCCTGTAATCCCAATCCTTTGGGAGGCTAAGATGGGAGGATTCTTTGAGTCCAGAAGTTCAAGACCTGCACAGGCAACGCAGCAAGACCCGTTGCTACAAAAAAAAATTAGCCCGACGTGGTGATGCACACCTGTAGTCCCAGCTATTCGGTAGTCTAAGGTGGGAGGATCACTTGAGCCCAGGAGGTTGAGGCTGCAGTGAGCCATGTTCACGCCACTGCACTCCAGTCCAGGTGACAGAGCGAGATCCTATCTCAAAAAAAAAAAAAAAAAAAAAAAAAAAGAAAAAAAAAAAAAGAGAAGGGGTTCTTTATCTTAGTTTCCAAATGCATCTTGAATCCACACATCTCTTCCTCCAACAGATGTGTTGAACAACCAGTGCATTTTCAGTGGGGCTGAGAAATATACTGAGACAGTCAGGGTCCAACCAGGAAAACCAGAACCACTACATGTATCTAAAACAGATAATACAGGCAAGTATGGAAGCTCAGAACTTAAAAGGGAGTAGTGAGGCAAACTAGAGACACATAGGAGCAGAAAGCCAATTCCATGCCTCAGTTGGAGGGCAGGCCAGTCCTATGGGTGCTGGAGCCACGGAGGAGAGGCAGCCTCTGCCAGAGACTCCCAAGCAGAGGGGGAAAGAAATGCTGTAGTTTCTCCCTCCTACCCATCTGCCAATGACTCATAAGTGCCTTCCATTAACTGAAAGCCAGGTAACATGGAGCCCTACGAAAGACATTCTTCAGGGATCAAATCTGCGATGAGAGCACAGCACAGTACAGAGTTGGCACCTGTAAGGACAGAAGACGCCCATTCTCAAAGAATTCCTAGCCTGCAAAGGAAAATGAGATATATGCAATAAAAAGCGAATGCAAAAGTGATTTCAAATCAAGGCTTTTCTCTAGACAGCCCTCGGTGAAATTGCAACATCAATTGCATCAGAAGGACCTTGAACATGGAGAATCAAACTAACCAGCCAGCCCCTGGGGGAAGAGGAACTTTGGGCTACAGGTGGTCAAGCATTGGATAGAAGATATTCATGGAAGCTTTCCTGGAAGTACTGGTCCTGGATCAGGATCTTGAAAGATTGGAAAGCTTAGGGAATGAGGGCAGCAGATGTTCCAAATGAAGAAAGCCGTGGGCGACCATATGAGCATTGATTAAGGGCATTAGAGTCAGGCAGTTCCAGATTCTAGTCCCAGCTCCATCACTTCCTACCTGCACGATCTTGACCAAATCACTTAAACTCTAAGCCAAAGAATTCTCAACTTGGAAACAGCAATAATCACACTGATCTTTTAAAGTTATGAGGCATTAAAGGTGATCATGCATCTAAAGTCTTTATACAGCTTTTGGATAACTCCATGCCCAGCAGTAGGAGTCATCATTATTTTTATTAATTACAATACATTATAATTCTGCCTCGAGGAGGCCAGTTTTTTTTTTTAACGTTCCATATCAGTTCATCTTTCTGAGAGTGAGCAAGGCTTGTCTCACTCTTCCTCTTTCCTTCCTCTCTTTTGCCTTTCCTTTCCCCCGAGAGTATATGTCAAGTAACTCCCTGCACGTGACTGGCTGGAGCACTGTGTTAAGACAAATCCTGAGTGCCAGAATTCTGAGCGTTTCTAATCTGGAATTAATTGGCGATCAATTCCACTTCACTAACACAAAACTAAAGAGAGTAAATATGGGTGCTTTGATTTACTACCAATGCCTCAAGAAAAAAGAAACCTTCTAATGGTGGGTATTTTAGATTAGGTGGCAGTCTTCAGAGAGCAGTCATTTGGAAGAAGCTGACGGGAGCAGATACACCTTATGGCAACATAAAGGGTACCTCAACATAGTCCTGTTTTGAAGTGAATTATTGAAGTTGATGAGAGAAGATATACGTTGTTGGAACACAAAAGGTACATCAACATGGCCCTGTTTTGAAGTGAAGTATTAGATCTATGGCTGGTTATTATCATTCTGTATTGACTTTTTTGACATACTAAAGTTCACCTTTTAGTGGCATGTGGAAGCCAATAGTGGGAATCATTTGTTCCGTGGGATCTGTCATCTGGATCTGTGAACGATTTGAGTGAAGTGTTCCTACCAGTTGTCCATTTGCTGTCACATCCCTTGCCCGTTCTTCTAACCTCTACGAACTACCTTTTTCAGGCTCATTGATATGGGCCCTGGACGAGAAGTTGTCTTGGCTTTCCTTCAGCATCTTCAATGCAGCAGCTCCAAGTTTTGTGTCCAGACATGGCTACAACCTAAGGAGAAAGGGCAGTGCTAGAAACTTGGGTCTTCTCTGCATACCTCCCTCCTTTCATCATGGAGAAAAATATTTCCAAGATGTCCCCACAAACGTTGCCTTAAATCTAACTGGCCATGCTTGGTCATATGGCCAGTGTTAGCTGCAAAGGGAGCTGGGAAAATAAAAGTTGGCTTTTCTGGGGCATAATGAAGGCAGTGGGGTAAGGGATTAGGAATGGCTATGGGACAGACAACCAGTAGTATCTGCCCCAGTGCCTGTTTGTTGTGAGAATGAAATTAAAATTAGTTCATGCACATAAAACACTCAGCACAGTACCTGGCGTGAAGTCAATGCTCAAGAAACATTTTAATGATAGGATGAAAATAATTATGTGTTCATTTCTCTACCTCTCTATCTGTTTATCAATCTATCTATTCATCTATCCATCCATGTATTCATTCATCCACCCACCCATCCACCTATCCACCTACCCATTCATCCGTTTGTCTATCTATCCATTCATCCATCCATTCATTCATCAATCTATCCATCCATCTCTACTTCTTTGTTGTTTTTGGCAGTGGACTGTCACCAGGGTCCTCCACTGATTGCTTTGGATGGGTGAATTATTTGATAAGCTCTTTGAAATAGAGGATAAGAATCCCCTCAAAAGACACCCATGACTTCTAAGGATGGTGGGTTGTTAACTGAGGGGCTTGGTTTTGCTAAGTGGGCAATGCAAGTTGAAGCCTAGAACTGAGTTTCCCAGGTAAACGGAGATTTTGGAGATGGTATGTGAAAAAAGACTAGGAGAGAAGGGGATATATTATAAAATGACAGTGTAAGGAGGGTCTTTGAGAGAGAACAGAAATGACTAGTGGAAACTTTTATTTATTTATGTAATGTGTACAATGCAATATAAACTCCTTTCATTGTCTCTTCATGATATCTTCAATATAATCCACTTCATTTGCTAGTGTTTTTGAGATGGATTTAAATTTTAAGGGATGGGTAGCAGTACTGAGTCCTTCTTTGAACTGGCATAGGTCAAATCCAGAGATGCCCAGGTAGGACCGGCCACATATGGGTGACTTAATGAAAAATGAAGGCCAAATTGGATTATATCATCTATTTACTTTGGTCCAGGAAGGTAAACAAGGATTGCTTTCAATTTTTGACTCTATTCTATGAAAAGAGGCAATGAGGAACTAGCTACTATGTTTCTTAAATTCACAGCTGGGAGGAGAATGTCTTTGTGTATGACCTCGTGAACAGCTGTGTTCCCGGCATCCCAGCTGACGTTTGGACAGGCCTTCATGATCATAGACAGGTGAGAAAGCAATGGCCATTGGGCCCCCTTGGAAGCTCCAACCAGGATTCTATTTTGATTTAATAAGCCTTTCACATCGGTGCCAGGTCACAGCTATGCACACAGCACACAGAGAGAAATCAGACACCAAGACACCACAGTTAGAGCATGATCAATTTGTGAAAGACATTTAATGATGTCCTACTAAATGATGGGAACAGATAACATGGTCAAAGAAAACCTGTTTGGCTAGGATTCTCTAAAAAAAAAAAAAAAAAGACACTAGGCAGAACGTGGTGGCTCACACCTGTAATCCCAGCACTTTGGGAGGCTGAGGTGGGCAGATCAAGAGGTCAAGAGTTCAAGACTAGCCTGGCCAACATGGTGAAACCCTGCATCTACTAAAAATACAAAAATTAGCTGGACACGCGGTGGTGGGCTCCTGTAATCCCAGCTACTCAGGAGGCTGAGGCATGAGAATTGCTTGAACCCAGGAGGCAGAAGTTGCAGTGAGCCGAGATCGTGCCACTGCACTCCAGCCTGGGTGACAGAGCAAGATTCCATCTTGGGGCAGGGGGGAAAAAGACACTAAAACGTGATTAGATGTGCAAGAGATGTTGAAGGGGAAATATTTGTGAACGAAAAGGAGGAAGGAGGCATAAGTAGGCAGGGAAGGACATCGGACAACGCCGTGGGTCTAAGACATGTGAAAGGAGATCAGAGAGAAAGGACTGGGTAGGGAGAGCCTCAGATCACAGCACAGTGCTGAGAAAGTCTTGGCTAGGCCAGTGGGGAGTCCCCAAGCAAAGATGCCCAAGACTGGAATCCTGCGCTGGGCAGGAATGCGCCAGCACCATTACCCCGACATGCTGAGTCACTCACTGGGAACAGCCTGGAGGAAGCATGTCTCACCGTGAATGCAATGGTAGCTCCAAAGAGGCAGAGGCATGTCCTTCTCACAAACAAGGCAGTGAATCCAAGGTGGCAGGAGAGCTGGAGCCGTCCATCAACTCTGCTTTCTGCTGGTCCTCCTGAAGGTGATCTGGGCAATGTACTTCTGTGGCTGCCACAGCCTTCCTGGGTAAGAGATATTTAAGTCAGTGTCTAATGGGTAAATAGGAGTTAGCCAGAGAGAGTATATTCCAGGTAAAGGGAACAGCATGGGTCAACATCCTAAGGAAGGGGAGGTCGTGGCACATTCAAGCAAGTTAATTAAGGAAGACCATTGTGGTTAGGGCACAGAGTGGGGTAGGGGTGGGTGTATAATAAGGCTGAAGAGAGTAGCTTGAACCAGATCTCTGCAATGTCATAGCAAACTCCACCTGGAGATTTTTGTCCTCAAACTTTTCCTGGGCAAACTGCATACTGAGTCTGTAATTTGCATGCATGCTTCTTGCCTTGCTCAGAGCACTATAGGGAATAAGGTTCCAGTGCCAGTTCCTGTTCTGCCACTTACTGGCTGGTAGGTGACTTTATGCAAATTAAAAATAAACCTCTCTGAGCCTCAGTTTTTGTGTCTGTAAAATGGGGATGAAAATAACAGTGCCTTGTGAAAAGAAAAACAAGTGAGCTAATGTATGTAAAGAGCTTACCGTGGTGCTTAGCATACTAAAAGAACTCATTAAGGATGATGAAAATTGCTGTTAAAGTAGCAGAAGTAACAGTGCGGTCAGACCTAACATTTTTTTTTTTTTCTTGAGACAGAGTCTCGCGGTCAGACCTAACAATTTTTTTTTTTTCTTGAGATGGAGTCTCGCTCTGTTGCCCAGCTGGAGTGCAGTGGCACAATCTCGGCTCACTGCAAGCTCCACCTCCTGGGTTCACGCCATTCTCCTGCCTCAGCCTCCCGAGTAACTGGGACTACAGGCGCCTGCCACCAAGCCTGGCTAATTTTTTGTATTTTTAATAGAGACGGGGTTTCACCATGTTAGCCAGGGTGGTCTCGATCCTCTGACCTTGTGATCTGCCCGCCTCGGCCTCCCAAAGTGCTGGGATTACAAGAGTGAGCCACCACGCTGCTGTCTTTTTTCTTGAGACAGGGTCTTGCTCTGTTGCTCAGGCTGGAGAGCAGTGATGCGATCACAGCTCACCACAACCTTGAACTCCGGGGCTAAAGCAATCTGCCCAACCTAGGCTCCAGAGTAGCTAGTACTACAGGCAGGAACCACCACACCTGGATTTTTTGTTTTAATTTTTGGTAGAGACAGGGTCCCGCGATGTTGCCCAGGATTGTCTCCAACTTCTGGCTCCAAGTGATCCTCCCACCTCAGCCTCACAAAGTGCTGAGATTACGGCATAAGCCACCGTGCCTGGTGATGTTTTAAATCAATAGACTTCAACTGGCCAGAACACATAGAGAAGTTATAATTTTAAAAACACTAAAATGTCCATTTATCATAGCAACTCTAAAATTGGATTATAACTACATTAAATGAGGGTTAAAGAAACTTGTATTAAAAGACCTAATAATAATAATACCAAAAAATACAGGAAAATTGCTCTTTTTCTTCTTTTCAGAGCTAGGCACCATGTGTCAGGCATTGTACTAAGTCCTTCACGTGCTTTAATTTGTTCAACCCTCACAACAACTCTCTAAGGGACATATTAATTCCACCATACAGATGTGGAAACTGGGGCTCAGAGAGGTTAAGTAACTTGCCCAGGTTGCAGAGCTAGGCAGCGGGTGGACATAGGACCACAAGCTCTAGTCTCTGTCTCAGAAGTAGCATGCTGTTCCCATTATATGACGTGAGCTCTGTAATCATCAGTGCTTTGGGGATACTTTTCTTAAAACTTAAATAAATGGAGAAATGGCTCTTGTTCCTGGACAAGTTGCAAAGATGTAGTTCTTTCCACAGTTAATTTGCACATTTATTGCAACACCAATCAAATTCCCAACAGGACTTTTCTTACAATTGGACAGAGCAGTTCCACCTTAGGCAAGAAAAACACGGACTATTTAGACAAAAAGAAAACAGATGGAGAGTGACTCCCATCCACTGGCAAAGTGTAGTAGTTAGGGGTCTTGGGTACTTCACTCAGATAGACCTGGGTTTGATTCCCAGCACTAATACTTTATTTGCTGTATGAATTTGGATAGACCAATCTGAGTCTCAGTTTTCCTATCTGTAAAATGGGGCTGATGATGCCTGCTTTTCGGAATGGTGAGGATACAACGAGTAAAGTGCCTGGCATGGCACATAATAAGCCCTCAACAAATGGCAGCTAGTAATAGTAGTAATAATAGCAGTAGTATCAGATTGGTAGCAGTAGTATCAGATAGCAGTAGCCTCAGTGAGGACATCCGCGCAGAGGTGTTAAAAATTGAGTTGCTGAGATGTCTGAGCTGGAGCTGTCTGGCTCAAATGCCTGATCTTCTCCGTGGAACCCTCCCAGGAAGGGCAGTTCGAATGGACTGATGGCTCATCGTATGACTACAGCTACTGGGATGGCAGCCAGCCAGATGATGGTGTCCACGCAGACCCAGAAGAAGAGGACTGCGTGCAGATATGGTACAGGCCTACCAGTGGTGGGTACCCCTGAGACCAAGGCTCTTGCAGGGGTGCCTGGGAGGCATCACAGGTGGGGAGGGCGAATAAGCGCCTTGGGGGAAGAGGAGCACCTGATGGCCTGAGACTGGCAAATTGTTCAGCACCTTGGAGACCAGTTGAGGTTACTAGGGTGCTGGGCGCATGGCCATTCTCCACAGTGGATATGTTTTAAACAACATTAAATGGGGTTTGGTTGACACCTAGACTCCAACTTGGATGAGAAGACATTATAAATAGAAGCGTGGGGGGGAAAAAGACTTGCATAGAGAGTAGTCAAGGGGTGGCGCTTCCATGTCAGCTCACCAACACACCAAAGTGCAAGCCCCTTCCCCAGGCTTATGCTACTGAATATTAGAAGCAAGCCACACCTGGGGTGGCATGAAGGTGTACGTAGTGACAAGAGTATAGACCTGGATTCAAATTCTGGCCTCGTTGCTTTCTAGCTCTGTGCCCTTGCAGAGAATTACTTCTCCTCTCTGAGATGGTTTCTTCTTCTATAAAATAGGCTTAATAATTTCTCCTACCTACAGGACTGCTGCGTAGATTAAAGGAGGCACAGTTGATATAGCACTGTGGCAAGAGCATGGACTTGCGAGTTGACTGCCCTTGTGTGAACCCCCGCTCCACCCTTAATGTGTAGCCCAAAGAGAATGCCTTAACCTCTTGGTGCCTCAGATTCTTCATCTTCAAAATGTGGCTAATGATAATTAACTCACAGGTTAATGTGAATAAAAAAAGAAGATAGTGTTCATAGAATAGCTGCCATGCTCAGTATTCGGTATTAGCAATCACCAGCATCATCATGAATCATCACTTTCACACCAGTCTTAATAGAAACAATATTCCCATTTTGCCGATGAGGAAAATGAGGCTCCGAGAAGTTCAGCAACTTGTTCAAGGTCACACAGCAAGCTAAGTAGTGGAGCTGGGTTTCAAACCTAGATCTACAGAGCTCTAGACCCAGACACTTAATTGTTATTCCCTCTTTGCTCTTTTTTCTTTTCCTAATTAGGGGAGGGAGGTAGAGAACAGCTTATTTTCCGGGGAGCCCTCCTGGAGCCTGGTAGCCAGAGCTGGGCCAAGCCTCTGGCTGAAGTTCGTCCTCCCATCCAAGGTGACAACCCAGGATCAGCTTTATGTAAGAGTAAGGCTGGACACCAGGCTAGTCAAGTATCAGCAAGAAAGGGCTGCCAGTGTAGACACGAGGCCTACCGGAGAGGGCTTTTACTTCAGAGGAGTGGTGGGATTACTCTTATCTTGGTGGATGGATTTTCAGCCAGATTCTCTGCTTCTTTCCCTCACAGCTCTGAGATCGTGGAATGATAACATCTGTAGCCAGAAGTTCCCCTTTGTCTGCAAAATCCCATCTCTGACCATTTATTGATCCTGTCTCGTCCTACTGGTGTGAGGGCAACTCCAGTATCATCTTGTAGCTGTACCCAGTGTAGAACTGACATTGAATACGTGTAAAACAAACATGGGAGGTTAATCTCTTGGACAGAGATTTTAAACAAGCAGATCTTAATTACACAGGGTGGTCACTTGGCCAAGTGACGGGAAAGCCAGCTCAAATTGGCTTAATTACTTTTTTTAAGTTTTTTTTTTTTTTTAATTGACCCAAGTAACAAAAATCCAGGGGTTATTCTGATTCAGAGTTGAATCTCACTGGCCTGGCTCAGGTCATATGCCCACCCTGAAGCAATCACTTTGGCATATGCTAAGTGACTAGCTCCTGCTTAGCTGCACATCTTTGGAAAAAATGGGGTGGGGGTCACATCATCAGAGAGGCTGGGAGTGGGGGAAAGTGGGAGGGGGTGTTGGTCAAAGTATACAAACTTTTGGAAACAAGATTAATAAGTCTGGGAGACTTACTGCACAGTGTGGTGACTATAGTTAATAATAATGTATTGTATTACTGAAATTTGCTAAGAGGGTAATTTTTTTTTTTTTTTTTTTTTTGAGACAGGGTCTCACTCAGTTGCCCAGGCTGAAGTGCAGTGATGCAATCACAGCTCACTGCAGCCTCAACCTCCCGGGCTCAGGTGATCTTCCCACCTCCAGTCCCTGGAGTAGCTGGGACTACAGGGCGCTATAGGCGTGTGCCACCACATCTGGCTAACTTTTGTATTTTTTTAAAATAGAGAAGAGGTTTCATCATGTCGTCCAAGCTGGTTTCAAACTCCTGGGCACAAGGGATCCACCCACCTCTGCCTCCCAAAGTGTTGGGATTACAAGCATGAGCCACTGCACCCAGCCAAGAATACATCTTAAATATTCCCACCACCACATGGGCTCAAAGATGAGGCTGCTTCTTCAAAGGAAAACAAAAATATTACCAAACTCATAAATTGCTGATGGGAATGTAAAATAGTGAAGCCACTGCAGAAAAGTTTGTCAGTTCCTCAAAAAGTTAAACATAGAATTACACTTGATCCAGCAATTCCACTCCTAGATCTAGACCTGAGAGAATTGGAAACAGGTATTTAAATATAAGTGGTTGGCCGGGCGTAGTGGCTCATGCCTGTAATCCCAGCACTTTGGGAGGCTGAGGAGGGAGGATCACTTGAGCCCAGGAGTTGAAGACCAGCCTGGGCAGCATAGTAAGACCCCATCTCCATAAGAATTTTTTTTTTTATTAGCCAAGCTTGGTAAGGCACATCTGTAGTCCCAGCTGTTTGGGAGGCTAAGATGGGAGGATCACTTGAGCCTAGCATACCAAGGCTACAATGAACCATGATTGTGCGACTGCACTCCAGCCTGGGTGACAGAGCAAGACCCTGTCTCAAAAAACAAAAACAAAAAAATATGATCACAGCAGCATTATTGATTAAAAAAAAAAAATGAAGACAACCCAAGTGTTCACCAACAGATGAATGACTAAACAAATGTGGTCTATTCATAGGGTGGAATATTATTCAAGCATGAAAAGGAGGGAAGTAACCATAGATACTACAACCTGAATGAACCTGAAAAACATTATGCTGCCAATCACAAAAGACCACATGTTGTATGATTCCATATATATGAAATATCCAGAATAGGCAAGTCTGTAGAGACAGAAAGTGGATTAGTGGTTGCCGGGGAATGTGTGGAGGGGGAATAGAAAGTGAGTGCTAATAGGTATGAGATTTCTTTGTGGGGTGACAAAAATTCTCTGCAATTAGACAGTGGTAATCATTGCACAATATTGTAAATGTACAAGAAGCCACTGAACTGTACATTTTTAAATAATAGTTAAAATGATAAATTTTACATTATATGAATTATTTTATTTTATTTTTTGGAGATAGGGTCTCACTCTGTTGCCCCGTCTAGAGTGCAGTGATGCAATCACCTGTCACTGCAGCCTCGACCTCTCAACTCAAGTGATCCTCCTGCCTCAGCCTCCCAAGTAGCTGGGACTACAAGAGCACACCACCTCTCCCAGCTAGGTTTTTGTATTTTTTTTTTTTTTTAGAGACAGAGTTTCCCCATGTTGCCCAAGCTGGTGTCAAACTCCTGAGCTCAAGTGATCTGCCTGCCTCAGCCTCCCAAAGTGCTAGGACTACAGGCGTGAGCCACTATGCCTGGCCCATTACATGAATTTTATCTCAATTTTTTAAAATGTTACCAGAAGACAGAATGCATGCCAGGCAGGAAAAACAATAGATATTTATTAGCAGAAAGAACATTCAACAGAGAGGCAGGAGGCCTCAGTTCCATTTCCAATTCTATGAACCTTGTTTCTGCTTTGGTATGGACTGGGGAACCTAAAAATCTGGGCCCTCCAGGACCAAAAAGGAAGCACAGAGAGACTAAAATACACACACAAAAAAATCAGTTGGCATTTGGTAAATTGTGCGGCTTCTCAGATTTTTGCAGGAATATTCTTCTGAAAAGGATGTTAAAATGGGACTTTCCTATTGCTTCAGAATTGGTCCTGGGACCTACAGCTGAAAGCAACAGGTACTAATTACCTCTCATTCTGAAGAGAGCAATGAACACATGAGACCATTCAACTACCCTTAGAGCTTATGTCATGGTTTGCAGACCGAGCCTTACCATAATCGACCACATGAGTAGAGAAAGACAAACAGTGGGATCCTTGGTGCTGATCCACAGCACCCACAGTGAAAAGGGTTTTTACCTTTTCTTCCTATGAAAGGAGGAGGGGTTGCTTTCTCTCCATCTACGGTGTCAAGTGAGCAGAGCTTTAAGAAATTGCTCATACAGATTGGGGTGCCTATAAGAAAGATGCACTGGCTTCTCACTCCCCAGCAAAACGCTGGCTATGCTGTTAAAAATTCTGCCCTCCCCAGTACTACACGGGAGAGGAACTGGGTCAGAGACTTCTCAGGAATGCACCCAGATATGGTGGCTCATGCCTGTAATCCCAACACTTTGGGAGGCCAATATAGGAGGATCACTTGAACCCAGGAGTACGAGTACATAGTGAGACCCCACCTCTAAACAGAAAATAAAAATTAGCCAAGTGTAACGGCATACACCTGTAGTCCCAGCTACTCTAGAGGCTGAGGTGGGAGGATTGCTTTACCCCAGGAGGTCGAGGCTGTAGTGAGCTGTGATCATGCCACTGCATTCTATCCAGGGTGACAGAGTGAGATCCTATCTCGTTTTTTTTTTTTTTAAAGGATGCTTTATGCATTTATCCCTCAGAATTTAGCAGTGTAAGGAGGAAAACTTTTCCTCTATCCTCTTACGTTCCTTTCTGGAAGCCTGTGAATCAAACTGTCAAAAGACAGATTAACAGTAGAAAAGGCGTAAGAGTTGTGTAGATGTTTTTACATGGAGAGGGACTTCGTAGAAAAGAAGTGAAAACCTAAAGAGGTGATTAGACTTGGGGGCTTATCTACCCTTTTAACAAAGGGGGATAAGTCGTGAAGAAGTGACTAGACAAAGGAAAAGAGGGTTGGCTTTCTAGAGGCAGCAAATTGTGGGAAGGTGACCAGGAAATGGATGGTAGATTAAGATTGTTTAGTAAAGTTTGTTATGTAGACTCAAGTGATCTCCAGGGTCATTCACCTCTTCCTGGTACAGGAGAGGGGACCACCTTTACAAATGGAAATTTATGTTACATTTACAAAGGGAAATTTATGCTCTCCTTTTTGGCAAATGTGGAGTCCTAATTAGGGAAAAGGAGTCAGGCTGGTAGGACCAAGGGAAAGCAAAAAGAGAAAGCTGATTAACTATAAGTCTGCCTTTCCTCATGGTCCAGGACACAGCTTTCCTGCACAAAAAAGCTCACAATCTTCCTGTACCCAGCACTCACCAGACACCTGCAAGTTAGCTCACTGCAACCCTGGCATTATCAGTGCCGCATGTAGCACTCCTCAGCACAAGCACCATTCTATAACATCCCCAGCAAGCCTTCGTTTTCTTGCAGACAGCTCCTTCTCTGCTGTGCTGCCTGTTGCAACCTTGCAACATACTTTCATAGTTTCTCAAATAAATCTGCCTTTCTTTACCTACAACTGTCTTGGTAAATTCTTCTTACCCCTGCACCACTGGCCCCTGATAGTTGCCAATCACCTGTGACAGCAATAGGGGGAGGACAGAGAGCTCTTCTTTTGTCTGCCATTTATTTTTATTTTTTGTAGAGATGAGGTCTCACTATGTTGCTCAGACTGTTATCAAACTTCCAGCCTCAAGGGATTCTCTCGCCTTGGCCTCACAAAGTGCTGGGATTACAGGTGCGAGCCACTGCACCTGGCCTGGCATTTCTTGATTGTCTTTAACTCAAAACAGTCCTGATGCCAAAGTGGCATATTTTGGGATATCATATTCTGATCCCTGTTAGGGGCATCCATGAACAGATTCTGATGCCTACTGGGAACCCACGTTAGGAAGCTTCTTGTAATTTCCCAAAGCAGAGAGGGGAAAGAGGCAGTGGCAAGTGGGACTGGAAAGAAAAGGATGGACACATGAGCCTGGATGGTTCAGAAAAGGACGTTAGTGGCTCTCCCTGGCTCCACGAGAAGAAGCAGAGAAGTAGAGTTCCTGCTCTGTGCCTCAGCTGCCCCATCTGTAAAATGAGGACAGTAAGTACGTACCTCATCAAGGTCAGCATTCAATGAAATAATATATGTGGAGGCTTTGAACAATGCCTGCACATAGAGCTATGTAAGTTAGGTATTATTCTTACTGTATTGGTTGGCAAGTGCTACAAAAGTGCCATAGAACAAGCCACCCCAAAGCTCAGTGGCTGAAAACAACCATTGTTTATTATAACACATGCGTCTCTGTGGGTCAGCTGGGATTTGGATGACCTATGCTGGGCTCTTCTGGGCAGCTCTGCGACTCATTGCAAACCTCAAGGATAGCCAGGGTGCCTCTGCTTCACCATGTGTCGGGGGTGCCAACCTCAGTCTTGGGCTGGCATTACAAATTGCCTTAATTTGAAGGTTAACTGCCTTTGAAGTTCAGCAATCTGAGTTCTGAGCTTGTGTCGTGCTAGACACCTAATGACTCCAACAGGGGTGGCACCATGTCCGAAAGGCCAAAGAAGAGACCCAGAACCAGTGAAGGAGGCATAGCGTTTATTGGGACTTACATACAGGGTGGTCTAGAAGTGTCAAGCTGAACAGGACAAACACTATCACCATCCTTGAAGGGGGATCTGGGTGGTGCATCTCCATGTTACCACATCCGGAATCAAAAAGACATGGATTCAAATGCCACCACTGACACTTGTTGTGTGAGCTCACGGAAGTGGCTTAACCTCTCTGAGTTTTGGTTTCCTCTGTAAAATGGAGACACGGTCGCTTCCAGCCCTGACTGTGATTTATCTGGGACATGAGGAGCTCTGCATAGGTAACTTTTTCAGAAAGCTAAAATTTATTCCTTGAGCATTACAAATATCTCTATTTTTACATTTTGGACGGAAATCTTTCTAAACCATGTTACGCATCTCCCTGCCTCCTTAAACAGAAGATCTTCAAGGAGATTCACCTTTTCTTGATTCAGGGTAATATGCGCTGCATCTGCTTCAGGCATTTTTGTCTTCTGTCATATCTGGGTGCCACTGTGCCAGTCTCTGACAGCCCACAGGACTCACAGCCTTTCCTAGATTGTGGCTTCTGGGTCGCTGGGGGCAGGCAAGCCAGGCAACCAAGCCTGAGAACAACCCCAGACAGAGAGAGAGAGAGAGGGAGGAGGAGAAGGGAAGAAGGAGGAGGAGGGGAAGAAGGGAGAAGGAGGAGGGGATGGGTGGAGGGGGAGGAGGAGGAAGGGGAAGAAGGAAGAGGAAGGAGGAGAAGGTGAGGGGAGGTGGGAGGAGAAGGGGAAGGAAGGAGGAAGGGTTGGGGGGAAGGGGGAAAAGGAGGAGGGGAAGGGGAGAGGGGAGGAGGGGAGGAGGGAAAGGAGAAAAGGGAGGGAGGGAGAAGGGAGGGGAGGAGAGAGAAAATAGATGACAGGTGACAGATTAATAGTAAATGATAGATAAATGATGGATGGATAAATGAAGATGATAGGTATTGTTAGAGATAGGTGATAGGTAGATAATAGTCTATAGGATATGGTAGTCATGTATCTGTCTATATATCATATCTACATGATCGTCCTTGGATAGTCATATATGGATAGATAATATATAGTCTCTCCCCTAGGGAAAATAGATGGATAGATGGATAGGCAGGTGATCATGACTATAAATATATGTCACCTATACAACCATTGTAAACAAAGCATAGGACCACATTGTGTGGATGCATCGAAGGATTTAACTATTCTTGTATTGTTAGCTATTTAGATTGCATCTAGTTTTTCACTGTTAAAAATAACACAGTGATAGGCATCTCTGTACCCAAATTCAATTATATTCTCGGGGATCTATTCCTAGAAGTGGCATTGGTAGTTCAAAATGTATGCACATTTTAAAACTAGAATGACTTTTTATTATAAAAATAATGCAGGTGGCATTTGGAGGTAATGAATATGTTTATCACCTTGATTGTGGTAATGGCATCGTGGGTATATGGATGTGTCCAAACCATCAAATTGTATATGCCCTCAACACTTTGTTTTTAAAATATACAATTATACCTCAATAAACCTGATTTTTAAAAATGCATGTGGACTACAAAAAAAGGGAGGGCTGTGTGTGTGTGTGTGTGTGTGTGTGTGTGTGTGTCTTCTACAATCCCACCAGCCAGAGATAACCACTACTGACCACAGCAGTGGACCGTTTTCCGGCCATGTATATTGTGGTGGCCATGAGAATGCACCATGCAGACCTCCTACTACCAGGGGCATGATTGAC